GTAAGGCCCCACTGCCGCTATGCTGAGCAAGTTTAAGGCACCATCTTAAATCAGAACAAATTAAAACAGACAAGGTCCCATGGAGTGAAATCAGCATGACTTTCACACACTCCTTGGCCACTCTCAACATCAGAAACAGTTGCTTACAGTAATGGCTGCTTTACAGCCCCCAGTATCACATTGCACCAGAAGCTTCTCTGCAGGAATCATAATTAACAGATGTTCTCTGTGAGACCGGTAATTAACAAAGTCACCCAGTCAGCACTGGATTGCCCTGAATATTTGATACTGCCCTCATAAAGGGAACTGGAGAAAATGGGATGAAGAATTAACTGGCTGCTGATGACTGCACACTGCTTAACAAACTTCTAGAGCCTCCTCTGTCAAGTAAAAATAACTTTTAATTTTTCATAGATGGCAGTGTCCCTGAGAGCAATCATACCATCTACCAATGCGGCTCTATTTTATACACTATTTTTTGATTTTGATCTGCATATGCATGTTTTGTTTTTGTCTGCTGTGACACACAAGATCCAGCTTGAACAATTAAACCATCACATAAAACTTGTTGCAGCGTTCGCTATTTCCAGTAGCTAACAGAAAAGAAACTGTACTTGAGAAAAAATGGTCTAGGCAAATTATGGTATTTTGCTTAAGCCTGCAGCTAATGTCCCAATTTCTACTTTGTAACTGTTGCGTATTTGTCAGACTCAGCATCACTTAACTAGGTCATATTTATTTTGCAGACATTTCACTTGGCAGCAAAGACAGATGTGACTCTTAGCACATGTATGGCCTGAATATCTTATTGACTGATAAAATGTTCTGCATGTGTGGCTTCCCAACATCCACTTGAACAGTATGACTTCACTAGTAGAACCTGAGCTGGAAACAAGAACTGTACATAAACCACACAGTACGCTCCATATGTGCCTGATGCAAATTTGTGCCCTGCAGCCCAGAAACCAGGACCCGTTAATCATCAACCAACATGACCATGGCCATTTCCTCCAGCTCTCCCGTTGAGATTAACTGTGTGTGCAGGATGTAATCATTGTGAGTGCTGAACCTGCCTAACAACTTATTACAGCTCATATGATGGGCTATGCAGAGGCACAGTCATTTTCAGATCTTTACTGTGCACACCCTTGATCATCATGGGTGGGTGGGTTGAGGGGAACTGGTTATATGAAAGGGATTTTACTGTACTCATTAAAGTTGTAGGTCAGGCCAGCCACTTGAAATGCAGTAGGGTGTTAACAAACAGAGAGCTTCTATATTTAAGTATTATTTCATGCTTTTTCTCAAATGAATTCAGACAAAGTAATTCACTCAGAACACACAGAAAAATACATTTATTCAAAGTAAGACAAATACCTGAATTCACATAAAAAACTGTTACGTGTGTATCCAAAAGATGGCTGCATGTAATACCTCATGATAATGGCTGAGGCAGAAAATGGAAGCTACCAAAATGAGTTCAGAAGACAGAACCCTTCGTTTAACTGGATAACAGTTAAGATATGATTGTCATCATGTTCCAGTACCACAAGCAAAACACACAACCTAAAATGACTTAAAGCAATACACTGCATGTACAAATATTGCATAGCTCCTATAAAATATCTGTATGCCCTTAATGCCAGTGCTGTGCTTTCTTTTACTTCAAGCTTGTCCTTAGCCTTATAAATACTAAATGTGTAACATATTAGGAAGACTTGACTGGGTATCTCATGTGCAATAATGGTAGATAAGCACATTAAAGAATGCATAAAATGCTTAATAAGCGGAAATCCATCTGGCTCATTACAGATTTGTTTCATTGCTCATTTTCAACATTAAAATGTGGACAGAATAGCAATTTCTTCCCAAAGAGACCGATCAAGGTCAAGCCCTTTTATAGGTTGTAAAAGGAAAATACATCTTCATCTACAGTGAAGAAAAATTCAGTAAATGGAGTATTTAGCTTTCTAACTAAGCAGACTTCACTGAGGCCAGAGGCTAATGCACAACTTTTTTTGACGATGGGAGTGGGAGACAGGCACTGTGCTGTGGCCAGGACAGAGTGCAGGTAGAGTCCTGAGGTTCACCACACTGCAGACTGTGGAAACTTTCCAAGGAGCCCTCTCAGATTCGTATATGAAAGGTACTAGAGTGACAAAAAGAGACAATGTGAGGGACCAACATTGAATCAGTAGTAGTCACTGTGCATGCAAACATACTGACTTACTGTCTATGCGAGTATAAACATACAGGAATCAGGAATAGTGGTGTTGCGTATTTCAGAGGAGATTGACAGTGGTAAGGCCATTTCCATATAAATGAATACGCTGTGGTGGCTCAGGATTAAACTGATGCTGTTAAAGTGACAGTTAATTGATGAAAATTATTACCAGCCATCTGGGTAATGAAAACTGTATGTAAACAGGGAGGTACAACTCACAGGGCTGCAGCATAAGGGGTGATGTATGAATTGCCCATTTTAAAGTGCCACTGATCCCCAAATAGAATGAAGTGTAGATGGAGATAGATAATAGATACAAAAGCTTTTCTTAAAAATATCATATCAAAACATTTGTCTTAAGTGAGGTACATTTAATCACCTTAAAAAGTCCGGAGCCCTAGATATCATATTTTCAAAGTCAGCAAAGGAGAGTTTGTTGTCTCCGTCTAAATCTGCCTCCTCAATGGCTTTCTCACACACAAGCACCACCTCTTCAGGAGTCAACTCCTCCTTCGTCAGCTTATTTAGAGTCTTTTCTAGGTCCTCTTTGCACAGGTAATTATCCACATTGAAATCTGTAGGTAACAGGAGTTGATAGCAAATGAACAAACCATGTCATTTTGTCGGGTTCTGAGAAATTTGAAAAAACTATAATGGATATTTTAGAAATTACCGTATATTTTGAAGGCATATATGGCCTTGAGTTCCCTTGGAGCCATTTCACTGAGGACTGAGAACATGTCCACAAATTCATTGAAGCTGAGATTCCCCATCCCGTCCTCTGAGAAAGACTCTACAATCCTGCTGCGGAATGGGTTTTCCTACAGGTGAAGGGGACTGCATCATTTACACACATCACACACATCAATGTTAATGGTGGTACACATTAATGTAAATAAAAGATTCACTTAAATATATGCCATGTGATTTGGATAAGAAAAACAAAAACCTAAAGAAAAATACCCTGAAGGAACTACAGGTGTCATGATCTTTCGTTTTTACATGCGAGTAAATGAAATGTGAATGTCAGTTTCACATATGAGCTGCAGAGGTATAAACTGCTAGGTTTATTCTGCTGATCACAGGGTTCAGCTGAAAAAGGCTGACTCCCTCTCTTCGCTTGCATCGTGAAGCCAATATTTTCTCCTCCATTGCTTAACCACAAGTTGCTACTAAGGGATTTTATATCCCAGGTAATCAGCTGATTTGATACAAGGAATAAATCCCCACTGAAGGACAGGCCTTCAGAAGACACTCTCACTAATTCTGTGAACAATTACAAGAACAAAACAAGTACAGCTGATTTCCTTAGGGTGGTTAGCATGTTTGAGCCCAATACAAGCTCAGCAAAATAAGTCACAATCAGCCATCTAAAGCGGTGCAGTTTTAACTGTGTGCACTCAGTCCACTCCATTCAACACAGCTCATTAATCCGAGTAGAAAATGTAATTATGAATCTGTAGAGGATTTGACTTTGGGTGACTTTGTGTATTATCTTGGCCTCATCAATCATATTATCAGTGGCCTCCATTTTCCTCCCACCATCCTTACAGGCCCTGCAATCATGTGACAGTTTAACAAGCAAGGACCAATTATGCCCAAAGCAAGGACACTCTATATGAGTCTATGTTCTAAACCCTTGGTGGACGAGGACTCCATATAAAATTGTGCGGTCGTCGTGTCTGGTGTGTTTGGAGAAAAGTAGAGGTAAATGCAGCTGTGATGTTATGCAACATGCCTGTCAGGATAGAGAGACTGAGCGTTTCATGACACATTAACTTTCATAAGCTCACAGACTGTGGTGTCACACAATCAGATCAGTGGTGATGACGGTTAAAAATCAATTTCCTCCTCTTAAAGAATTGATTAGGTTTCTGCCCGCATGGGCAGTGGGTGCCACGTTTGTTTTAGAGTGTTCTTATAGCACAATCCAAAATAAGAAAACCCAATACCAGTACATGCTGCTGGTGAAAAATAAAGTACAGGTAAAAAGAAGTTGATACTTAAGGAAAATGTTTACAAGTTACTACATAGGACTTGCATCAATCGTTTTTTTTTACCTTCAACTCTGGCATGTTGACTATTAAGGCTAACGGCAGTTTACAATCAGGATCATTGGTGTAGTCCATTGGTACAAGATGTGGCGCCAACTCATGGTATCTGCCGTGCAACCTAAAAATAAAAAGACTTCATGAACAATTGTATTTCTTTTTCTGCTTCTGGCTTACTGACTTTTAGTAAATAAACAACATGACGACTACTAAAAAAAACACAACCTTGACCGTTACTTTAATACCTGAAACTTAGAAGAAGTTTCTGGCACAACAGATGTTATAAGATGATTTAATAAGCTATTAAATAGCACAGATGGAGTGTAACAAATATGGAATGGACATATATAAAACAGAAACATGACCAAAAAATGAATGGTGTGGGGGGGAAACATGACATAAAAACAACAACAGAACAATCAAATCATTCTTTAAACACTATTATTCCTCTTTTTAACCTTTCTCTCTTTATCTCTCCTGTCCTTCTCTTATCTTGCACTGTGGAATTTGTGAAATTTTATGCCTTTCATTATCGAGAATAATGTCAATAAACTGCACGGAGGCTGTATGAATGATAAACACATGATGTCGGGAAAGTCGGTGCTTATCTACACTACAGTGGCCCTTTCACACTGTCATGTTGTACCTTCGTTGCCAGAGCAGAGCCATTTCTCAGCAGGGAGACTGGTCTTAGAGGACAAATGCATTACAATTAAATTAGATAAACCTGTCAAAATGATGGAGTTTCATTGGTACACTGCAACAAATGAACAAGTAAACCTGCAGTACTGATGCACTGTGACACTTCAAGTGTTTGGATCTTATAGCTTCTACCAATTTAAAGATGTTAGTAAGCTTACTGATTAATTTCCAAAACTACTAATCTAGTGCTAACATTGATATATGACATACAGTCAGTGACCTTATGACCATCAGTGATAGCCTGTTTGTTTGATGTTACATATCTGTGATGAAACCGTTGCAGGCGTTTTATGAAAGTCATAAAGTATAGGACCCAATTATGCCCTCTACTGATTGTCAATTTTTGTTTCCAATCCAATGATGGCCTTGGAATCAATGTTAATTCAATATCACAGATGAGGTACTTGCACACTATTTGTTAATAAGTGAAAACTGATTAATTACACATACTTTGCTTTGTTGGAAAGATAAAAGCAGCATAATTGGGAAAATGTAAGGCCTAAAGCTATTTGTATAAGTAGGATCAAAGAAGCATGTTGTGTAATATGTTAAACTTTAATCGTTCATTAATTCTTGATAGTTTGTGTAATTTTAGATGCAATTTTTTAGATGCAGCACCAAGGAAAATAATTTTTAAAACAGCCTTTCCTGCACATACAGCGTAAGGGCAAATCAGACCCCAAAATCCCTGCATGCCTGGAATCACAAAACTGTCATCCTTATCTAATGTTACACTGCAACTTTCTTGAGTATCAGCATTTAATTACTTTAAGTAGCTTTTTATCTTCCAACATCTAGAAGATAATGAAACGTGAGCATTGTGGGTCAATTCCATTAAAAAGCAAAACAAGCGATTTGTTAATTTATTCCTGTCATCAAGGGGGTGATTGACAGGAAGAGAGAAATGAGCCATGCAACCCAAGCTAAATCATGATACCTTGTGCAATCACTAAGAGTAGATTTATATTTATTTCATTTTTTTAATTGTTGAGGTTGCCCTATGCCGAAAGAGGAAGAAATGTGACACTTCATTGGGTGGCATTGAAAACAACACCACAGTCAAAAGGTGAACATGACTTTCAAAGGTTTAGGTAACATAGTGACACTGCTGCAGGACAGAACCTTCTAGATCTTCATTCACAAAAAACTTTTTTAAATTTTTTTTTTAATTTTACTTATCACATGCACCAACAATATAAGCACATGTTGTGCAATTCACAGATGTAATTACATTTGTCTATTATGCTTCAGCTTGTTCGTATTTACTGGGATGTTCAGTTGATGTGGAGATACAAGAAGATAATTAACGGGGTGGATGAGCGGATCATTTAGGATGTCAGTCTGTACAAGGAAATCAAGGTTCAATCCCTGGCTCCCCCTAGTTGCGTGTCAAAGTGTCCTTGGGCAAGATACTGAACCCCGAATTGCCCCTGGCGGCTATTCCGCCAGTGTATGAATGAGTGTGACTGGTGAATGCAGATGTAGTGTAAAAGCGCTTTGAGTGGTCGAAAAGACTAGAAAGGCGCTATACAAGTACGGAGCATTTACATTTACATTTTAGTAGCTACCAAAAGATAAATGACAGTATACTAATTCTATTTAATAAATGTTCGTTTTGCTTTGGACTTCCAGCTTCATATACTTGTTTTTGTATTATCTGACACTTCATCAAGTGAATCTATTAACATTACCCAATAAAAACATTATTTAGGCTTTCTGGCTAATATTTTGATGATACTGACACATTACTTACACATTACAGTTTGCATGTGCACAGAATACAATTTAAAAAAAATCTGATAAATATCAATTATAAGATTTTTCAAAATGCATAATTTTCTCTCTACAATTGCAACAGTACATATGCTGTCTAAAATGATGGATGTTTAATAATCAGTCAATAGTGGATTGTTTCATTACCACATTTGATTTATTCACATTTCAAATTTAAAGTTGTAAATCATTCTAATAGCAAACAAACTGTGTTCCTGCCAACCTTTGCTCTTAAGCAACCAACACACATGTTGTGTTGTTGTTTTATACTGCAATTATAAGACAAATAATGTACTGTTTCTGAAATCAAATTGCACTAATTGGTTCTACAATTCTACTGTCATCTTAAGTATGTATGTCAGATATCATTAGAATTAAAATGTACAGCAAGTACTTGTATCTTCCCCTTTTTGAACAGTGTCCAAATATTACACATTTTAGCCAAAGTAATCAACTACAGCATTACGTTTCCCAAGTGGTAAGCAGCCTGCTCTGTGGACTTGGCATGACTCACATATGTTCACATCTAGTATTACATGCCTAGCAAAATCAGTGTCCACTTAAAGCACAGGAACAAAAGGGAATAAAGACAGTACCTTTTAATAACATTATTATGTGTGTAATCTAATGGTTAGAGCAGGTGGTTTACAACTGACAGTACATTACAGAGCAATGCATCTGACTCAAGAGGCAGAGTTGATAAAATTCTTACCGCAGAATTTCTTTGCGAGTGAAAAACGTACAGTCCTGCAATGAAAGCAAAAAAAAAAAACATGTCAAACACAAATATGAGAAATTTAGTTAAATATTTGCATCTTCTCCAAAAGGCCCAAACTCAATGATACATCTCATTAATGACTCAATGACACATCTCTGAGTCATCCAAAATAACATTGCTTTTATTGCTTTGAAGTCATGTGAACAACCCTGTCAGTGCTTGTCGAGGTGTCTGGTATCTCATAAATGATGATGTGTGTGGGTGCTGTCACCTGTCACTTGCAATAGGAACGATGAGGCATAGGGAACATGAGCTGCTGCTGTCTGACAAGCGTGTGTTGACACACACATTATCCAACAGCACTACTGGGGGTATTTCATTTACATTTTCCCTTGTATCCATTCTCTCAGAGTTGTTTGTGAAAAGCAGAGCGCAGCAAGCTGAGCTCTACAGACAATGTGATTAACAAAAAACCCTCTTCACTCCACGTCCACTCAAGTCAAAACAGGTCCACTGACGATATCCGTCTGTGTCTGAGCATATGTGAAGCAATCCATCTACTAGCCTCCATCATGTCAGATTACACCATAAGTAAAGCCTACATATATAAAAGGTAGTAAAGTAGTGTTGGTGAACAAAGAAAACACTGAAGCTCAGTAAGTTAATGTCAAATTGGGTGTTAAATCTTAAATATTTGATCCCAAAAAAATAAGATATAAAATGAACTGATATCCAAGAGGCAAAATAATTACTATGGCAAACAGAAAGCAACAGTGTTCTAATAAGGCTTTTTAAAGAGAAGCCGGAGTAACCAGAGAGGCCCTTGAGAAAACTGTCTCCTGAGAGTAGAGTTTCACATATCACACTGGCTTGGCATCAATTATTAAGTCCACACCTAATCACATGATAAACCTGTGCAAATGAAGACATATTTCTTCACAGGAAAAGGTCAGATCTTCTCAGATGGGGACACCTTCTGCTACTTTCACCTATCAAGACTATGTAAACATTTAAACAGTGGAGTCATAACTGATCACACTTTAGTAGGTTACTGATGATTGCCTGTCATTAACTGATGGGAATCAGGAGCACCTGCCTGAATCACATTGAGGTCAAATGGTAGCCTATAAATGATCAGTATTGAAAATCTTTGCTTTTTGCTCTATTTCACAAAATGTGCAGTATTTTTATTTATTTATTTTTACTCATTAAATCCAAGACACATGGGGTTCCACTGGCACGAGTGACTTGACCAATATCAGGCGAAAAAGATAATTAATAACGTATGACACCACTACTACTACTACTACTACAAATAATAATAATAATAATAATGATAATGATAATAATATTAATAATAATAATAAGAGAAGAGCAATTTACATGTCATGGGAAAAAATTCATGCATCACAATGCTGTATAAGGATAGTTCTTTACTAAGGCCTCACCTTTTACTCCACTCTGTCCTGAATGAACTGAAATTAAACTTAAGGTCTAAACTGTAGATCTCCATTTACATACAGAGACAATCCTAATGGATTACAAGACGTTCTTTTATGCTTTAACATGATTTTTCTTGGACATATAGTCTATATCAGGCCTATATGACCCAACATGCTGCAGGTAGGCGAGCGAGCGAGCTTACCTGGTAGGCATCAAGTTGTTCGTCGGTGAATATTGTTTGCTTATTACCCATCTTAATCAAATCATTTGTTGCGTGTACACATTCCCAACACTGAACGTCCGAAGCCTTTTCTCAATGAAAAGCATTTAGGGGGTCCTCGGAGACGAGGTCTCCGCTCGACGACGTTGCAAACTCTTACAAAAGGTTGTTGTCCTCACGGGAGATCCGCCATGACTGCAAAACGTAGGGGGCGCATAAAAACATGAAAAATGTGGTACGAAAGGTAGGAGTAGTGTCCAGTTGTGTCAGAGCGTGGAGGTTGTCTGAGGAGTCCAAGAGCTGCAAACTGATCTGCTTCTCTTTAAGCACCAAGCTGCTGTCCACCGGCGTCAAGACAAACCAATAACACCTCAGACAAATAAATAAATAAATACATGTGAACTGCAGGTTGCTATCAATGAAGATGCTCTCAACTACACTGTAGGGCAACTTAATGTTGATAAAATTGACATACACCTCCCCACTAACCTAACATCACATGTAATAGCCTAATGCTACAGCTTTTTGATCAATAAATAATACTATATTTTGTTTCTAAACTTTTTTTCTAAGTATGGTAACTTCAGATATAAAGTAGCAGAGTATAGGCTAATATTTCCAAGCATAAATAAATTGTAACGTTAGATTTCATTCTGATGAGTGGAAGCATAAAGTAGCATCAAATGAAAATATTCAAAGTGCAAACTATTTTGTAATGACATGCAGTGGCTGAGTAAACATAGTTACTTCCCATCACTGGTAGTGTACAACACAACCTAAAAAGACGTCCGATTCTGGACTTTGCGTGCGCATGAATTTCAAATCGATTTAATTTACTTCGATTTACAATTATTTAAAGTACACTACCGTGTAAAGTTGACTACCGCAGATCCATTAATTAAACCCGTACAATAATTATTTTCGACATTGCTGTAACAAGAAACAAACTTTTAATTGACACAGAACCTGTTGCACGGAAGAAACAGCTAGCAAAAACAAATTTTCCAGCCACATCTTCATCTTCCAGCGCCCTCTAACACAGTGTGCTGCCTCTGTCTGTGCGTTGTGCTTAGCTGGACTGCAGAGACTGTCCGTCTCATCCACCTGCGTGCTATTGCAGCACAGCAGTACAGTGAGCGTGTCCTGCCTACACCCCAGGACAGATGCCAATTTCACATTTCCCCAAAATAACCACTGCCTTGCCTTCCCACTGAATTGGTTAAAATCAACGCTTTTGATTGCGACAGGTAGCTTTCCAAGTAGCAAAGTTGCCCACGATGGACTCTAAGCGAGATAAAGACCAAGGTAAGTTGTGATGGATAGCTTGTTGCTACGTCGCCATGCTAGCCACTAGCGGCTCCTGCTAGCTAGCTGTGGCTTTAAGCTTAGCTGTAGCTAACAACGTATCGACCGTTACGCAACATTGTACGTGTGTCACCATCAGAGGAAAAGTGAAAAATTACCATTTCATTAAATAACCCACCCACTTTCATCCGGCTGAATCATCCTCATGAAACCACCCAGCCGCTGCCCCACGATGCTCATAGCTAAAACACAGGTCGCTGCCAACACTATTAGCTAAAAAACATTTACTGGTGGCCGAGTGTCAAGCTAAGCTAAACACCATTAGGTTTATTTTGTAGGTGTTAGTTAACATACGCAAGGTGTGTGTTTGGTGGCCCTACTGGTCCCACCCACGACCGTTCCCCCCATTTTGTAGTGGTGTTATAATAGTACTTTGCCAGCCAAGCCTTGTAAAAATTACATATAAAGTAAATTATTTAGTATTAAATGAAACAAATAGCCCACGACACCATCATTTTTGGTTAACCTGATGAGTCTTCAGTGACGTTGTTCTCCTCAGGGAATCAGTGTTTCGTGTATGCAGGCTCATGAAAGAGTATTCATGTGTAGTTAAGAGTTAGGGACTGATTCTGCCTTAGGAAACTAAACTAAACATAACTTCCCCCATTGTCATTCATGCATGCAACTGGCGATCCAGTACTGTTACAGGCGTAGCGAAGAACAACACATCTGCCTGTTTGTGACAATTTGTCTCTGGAGCTTGCAGAGGAAAAGCTCAGTTTGCTGCCCCATATGAAATTCATAGTCTGCTTGACGTGGTGTTTACTACATAGAGATGATTGCATGGGTTACTTGATTGTTCCAGTGTAAAACAGAACAGACATACTGCTTCCAGCATTCTGCTTTTGCAGCACTGACTCACAAATAAGTGTGTTGCATATGTAGGAATAGATATTTTTATGCTGCGGTCTTATTTCTCTGATTCTTTCAGATGCAGACTATGAGAAGATAACTGCTGTGCTGCTCAAGTCACGAACAGGAGAATTTGATTTGGAGTCAATACTGTTTCTCAAATTGAGAGGTCTTGGTAAGATTTATTTTATATACCACTGTTTAAGCCTTCAAAAGTGTCCACATTGTTTCTAATAAATAATTGTGTCTCACAGGAACACATGATCTTGGATGCATTGGGGAGTGTATGAATTTGGAGAGACTGGACCTCTCTGGAAATAACATCACAAATTTAGCACCTCTAGCATCTCTTCGGCTTCTTTCTGTACTCAATGTGTCTGCCAACAGGATTTCCAGTTTAGGTAAGATTTCAGGAGCAATTTATTCTTTATTTCACTTATCAAGGAGGTCTCTTTCATGAGTAGAATTTGATTTTTTAATGTAATGTAATTGCTTTTGTCATTTCAGAGCCCCTGCGCAGTTGTGACAGTTTACAGAACTTAAACGTGGCTGGTAATATCATATCCAGGTATCACTATATAACTTTTGACCAAATTCTCACCCTAGATGAATAAAGTTGTGAATATTTCACTAATTACAATGTTACATATTCTACAAACAATTAAATGTCATTGATGTTAAACATAAAAATAGTTTGCTTCTAATAATGTATTTTTAATACTTTAATAAATTTGTTATTATAAATCATCTTTTACCTGTTTTGTTTTTCAACAGCATTGAGAGCCTACACTGCCTTCAGTCTTTGAGAAAGCTAGAAAATATACGTTTTAAAGACAACACTTACAATTACACTAATCCAGGTAATTATTTGTTATTTGAAAACAGTGGATGAAAAATCTTGATAAGTGAAATCACAATGACTTTCTCTACATCAGTGTGCAGGAACGCAGCATATAGAACCATAGTTCTTGAGATGTTCCCCAACATCAAGGTGCTGGATGGTAAGATATATTTTCTTTTTATTTAGTCATTTGCATAACATAACTCTTAGACCATGTTGAATGTGTTCTTGGATTTTGAGATCCCTTTAAAAAAAAAACATCTGTTTGAACTGTAGGTGAAAGAGTGGTTGGACGTGGGAGTGACTTGTACCAATTATGCAAAGACATTGATGAGACCATCAAAGGTACATTTGTTAACTAGTGTGTGATGACTTGTTAAAACACACCGTTCATCAGATTAAGTTCAGATGTTGAATGTAGCAATTTGTCGTGAATACACAATCCTACAATGGCATTACTGACATTGTTGTGTTGTAGTTGTTGTTTGCACTTTAAATTACTAACCAAACTGTTTTTCTTTCTTTAAATGTTTAGCCGGTTTATACAAGAATGGGCAGCTTGTTGAACATCCTGATTGCAAACCATGGGTGGAGGATAGTTACTGGGAGATAAAGAGATCAAACAATGCCATTATTGATGAAGCCTACAAACAGTTTAACGGTAAGAGGTTCTCTGTAGGGCTGTATTTATTAAAGAAAAGTGTTGCATGTGATCTAACCAGTTGTCGACTCAACTATGTTGTGTTCACAGTGCGGTATCATATATAACCCTTGCCCTACATTTATTTTTCTACAGATGTTCTTCATGAATGCAGACTCCTCAACAACAGAGCCACTCATGTCATTTCGCAAACTGAAAGATCGATGAGCCTGAAGAAGCAGCCAAAGCAGTATGCCATTTGAGTTGGGCTATTTTCAACACATTTGTGTGCAACCTTTAGCAACTTTTTTGTTGTATGATCTACCATGGCCAATGTACTGTAGGTTTCTGAAATGACTAAGCTTTATCCAAGTGCTTGATATGTATTATAGCCAGACACACATGCTTTGTGTTGCATTTGTTATAATTGCATCACATCCTAAGCGCTGGGTAACTGACATACATACATGTAAGTGGTTTGAAAACCTTTATCCATACTGACTCCCCTCAGTTTGGTGCATAGATATCTTTACTTGCACAGTGTGCATTTTGTACCATGTTCAGCCTGCATTTATGCTGAGACCTATGCTGCTTAAGAATTTCTATAGGTTTAAGTGATTAAGAGCTTTTTTCCATTTGGCATTGCTGGATAATTTGGGGAGTGCCATGCTGTATGCTTTCTTGTAAGTTTTGCAAAAAGTGATTGAATGATTGTTTCAGCTGTTTCTACTTTACCATTTTATACCATAAAGTTTATTATGTGTACAATCAACTTGTGGAAAATACTGTGTTTATAAAGGTGTACTTCACATGTTTGATTTTTACTCAAATCTACAAAGTCTACTTTGAGGCAACTGATACATATATACTTTACACTTGTTGTACATCCAGAGCCAAAGAACATGTGTATTAATAACATGGCTTAAGGAAAGAAATAAGCAACCTGTAGTATTTACCCCTGGAGTTTGTCTACTCTCAGTAGCAGTCCACTGGCGCCACCTGCTGGTGGTAATTGTCCAGCAAAACTAAATCAGAATCAGCTTTATTGCCTAAGTATGTCTACACATGAAAATATTTGATTCAGGTTTTAAGTTGCTCTCAGTGTAGGGCTACTTACAGATAGTTTCAAGAACAATTAACATGAAGCTACAGATAGACATACAGCAAACACAAGGACAACAAAGATAGGTAAAAGTAGTCAGGACTATAATATTTTGTATACAATAGGTAAAAAAAATAGGCATATACCGGTATATAAAATAACCAAAACAACATACAGTCTATACACAAGTTAATATTTCTGTAGATTGTAAACAAATAAAAAGGGATAGATACTGTGTCATTTAACAGTCATGTTAAGATATGCACGGACAGCGTTCAGGATAATATTTGACAATGATGGATGATATGTAAACAATATAGTTCGCCCGTTTATGGTAAAATATTATTTTTCCTTTGGAAAGCTTGCATTTTGTTGAGTTTGTGGTTTTACTGGACGCTTTATACATCCATGCTCCAAGTCACTTCCGCAAAAAACCTCAGTGTTTATCCCGGAAGACGTCTAGGGTAAAGGGAATCTGGTTGTTTGTGTACAATTGTTCACCATTATAAAATAAATTTAAGTACATAATTGAACGTTACTACTTTAAAATAATTGGAATTTTCATTATTCGTGACTTTATGTAATGTGTAAATTAGTTTGATAAGGGTTTATTTGGGAAGAAAATCGTTCAGAACGGAAATCGGCTTTGGCTAGTGATTGGGAAGCTTGACAAGTGCTGCAGCTGCTGTATCGACCTTGGCTGGCTGATGATGGCAGGGAAGGCTTGGAGGTCAGCGGTATGTACGGGAAAACATGAAATTGTTAAACTATTGCCCCACACGCATGGCACTGTGTTTAAGTCCATCAACTGACGTTAGGTTATTGTCGTTCACACAGTCACAGACAGCAGGGATACCAGAAACAGCTCAGTACCTACCCAGCTAGCAAGCTAGGCGCTAACGCACAGGCTACGTGTATGCAGTTACTATAGTAACCGGACTCTTGACCGCTAATTAGCCAATAAGCTAGCAAAATCAAGGCACAAGATGTTTTAAGCATAACTTTACCTATAAAACCTTTTTATATACAGTCTATGATTAAAACGCTAACTATCCTCGCTGCGTCAGACCGCCTTTGCTACTGTACGTCTGCAATTCAACTGAGCAAAGATAACCTATGCTGTGAAATGTTGCACTTTTCCTTTTTGTCATCTACGTCAGTTTGCCCTAAATTCTAGTTGTCTTTGCCCGTGATGATGGTGTTTATCACTTGCCAAGACCTGCATGTATGCCTTTTAAACCTGTCCCTTTTTGATTGTCAGGTGTCATGGGTGGTTGGAGCTTTGAAG